ACTTGGTGTGTCGGTTTGTATGTATGTATGTATGTATGTATGTATGTGTGTCCGTCCGCAAAATGAAGTGAGTGAGAAGGAAGCTCATGGATAAACAAACCGCTAACAAATCGGGTAGCTTACAGGATTTGAGATATCAATGTTTTGTAGCAGGATAGTTGTGATAACACTCTTAGGGCTATATAAACACCTGCTTAGCACACTTCCGTTCATTCCACATGGTGCTGCAGTGGCAGCTGGAGGGCAGTGGAGAGAGGAAGGGAGGATGGAGAGGGAAGGAAAAATCTACCGTCATATCATGATTGTGGCTTCTACTGTGCAGTGTGAAACTTTTTTGTTGCATGCGCGTCACATCCTCGAGGTGTAGTGCCAGAAGTTGAGGGGATCATAGCGAAAGACGTAAAAAAAAGTACGCAGAAAATGAGGGTCCCGACAATGGCGGGGTCCAATCTAGTCCAGCTACATATGTTGGAAGCAGCTTATACACGTAGATTCTCTCAAGTGCCCGTCACTTTGGTGACACGCCAACCCCAACTCTCGTATCTGTGTTGATACGTTACTAAATGTGCATTCGTGACTGACTCCTCCCCTACGTGGAAACAATGTAGCCATATTCTGCTGGTTGCTATAGTCTTTTATGTTTCGGTTGCTCACTTACAGAGCCGTAATGAGGATTTCTGACTTACCTGAATGAGGATCCCTCTTACTGTTCTCCCGCATGCGTTGCTGGTTTCAGCCGAATCCCAGGTAATTCCATGTCGTAGTTTTTTTTTCATCGTCGTAGCTCTTTTCTTGTGAAACAGTCTCACGAAATAGGAACCTCACAGAATCTCCATGAGCGCGCTTCCCCCTTTGTGTCTGAGAAGGATGGGACTCTTGACTCCTTTTTCACTTCCTTTTTCTAACTCTTTATTGATCTTACTTTGCTCGTCTCTAACCACATATCTCTACTTGATCAACAATTGGATACTACAACAATCAAGCTGAAATGAAGGCAGGAAACGGCATATAAACTTCTGTATATCTGAAACAGCCAAGGACGTCTCACTGATCCGGTACTTAGCCTTAATCCTTTATGTTCCTCAGTTTTGCCTGGCTACGTGTTATGCCCTACATAGGGAAACAGTGCTCTACATCTGGGACCGTGATTGGTGCATGCGGTTCACTCAATATTCAATACAAGTCGTCATTGCTGTGGTGTTAATCTACGGTCCGGATTTCTGTATTCTATGCTGTATTCCGCTGGAATATTCAGCTAGCTCGGACGTCACTGATACGATCGCCGTATGCGAGTACCTTAGTGGCAAGGTACGAAATAGAGAAGAACGTTGCCACTTCAACAGGTCATTGAACTTTTTGTTCTTCGGTCCTCATAGTTTCTATTGAGTTCTGGGGTCGCGCTGCTTCTGGTGGCTGGAAGCTAAACTTGTTCCTTGGTCTAATAGCCACCAACTTAGGTTTGATATTCACTTTGCCGTCTGATGATGATTTCCGATACACCTGTCTTCCCTTTTAAAGTTCAGGAGGGCACGAAAAAGAAAAGGAGATTGGATTTCGATGGGTCTCTTCACCCGATTTTGTACGAGCCGCTGATGAACTTACGAAAGATGAAAACATTCTACACGTTCGCACAGTACTGGCTGTTTTGCTCGGTAGCAGAAAGGAGCTTGACGTTATGTCAGGGAAATCAGAGCGTTGAAAGAAGAAAATGTGGTGCTCCAGAAAGCACTTGATAGTCATCGTTTGTCGTCATTTAACAATACTGTTTCGCATCAGGATAGCATATCAGCGATTAGGCCCCCTGATAGAGTTACTCAGCCGTTGTCTTTTGATGATGTAGAGCGTAGGAGATCCATTGTGGTCATAGGTGTACCTGAGAGTAGGAGTAGTAGGAGTTTCGATAGAGTTGTCCATGATCGTCATTGTATTCATCAACTTCTCGATTACCTTTCTGTGGACTGTATTCCCGTTTCATTGTACCGAATGGGCCGCCCAAGCCCTTCTTATAATAGGATTCTAAAAGTTGTTTTGCCAAACTCATTTTTTGCCGGGCTCGTTTTGCGGGCACCTCGCTTGAGATACTTTCCGCTCCAAAAAGGTGTCTTCGTAAAGCCTTCCCTGGCCAAGGAAGACCGGGAACGGAATCGTATCGAAAGAGAGGCGCGCAACAAAAGGGCTAACGGTAGTAAATCGGTTGTCAACAGTCAGAGTTTCACTGTAAACAGTCAGGATACTGCTCATGTAGGGCACAATGGCATTGTACCGTGTCATGGGCCTGGTGATGAAAACAATTTTAGGAACGTTTCTCCTTACCTTTTACCTTTTACCTTTTACGCGATTTGTCTTCAAACATTCCTCCATGTTTGCAAATCGGAACCTTTCCATCTTTCTCTGTCTTGTGCTATTCTTGTCCATTGGTGACCATGTAACTGTACCATTGGATCGCACCATCTCATCTTCGGATGACCCACAGGGCGTTTGCATCCTCGAGGGTACCACTCGGTTAATCTTACTGTCCATCTGTTATCTTTACATCTTGTCACGTGTCCAGCCCATGATTGTTTCTTTCGATATATGGTTTTGACAACATCATCAACGTTTGTGCGTCTTCTCAGCTCTTCGTTGTTTACTCGGTCTCTTAACGAAATCTTGCACATCCTTCTTTCCATATGCCTTTGTGTTACAGCTAATTTTTTCTCATCGTTTTCCGTTGTCGCCCAGGTTTCTGCTGCATATGTGAGGGTTGGTAATACCATTGTGTTGAAGTTTCTCCTAATTCAGTTCATTCAGGGAGGTCAAACTTATAGTTTCTCCTCGGATGTACGGTGCTCGTTTGAAGTGCCTCTTGGCCAATATCCGCTCTCTCTCTCTCGAAAAATGTTGGGGAACTCCTTTTTCTTATCAGGAAAGGGAACTTCGGCGTATTATCTCTTACCGAGACATGGCTGTCTGATGTTGTTAGTAGTGAGTCCTTATTTGGAGAGTATTGTAGTCAATACGATATTCTCAGGTGTGATAGGCCCAGCAAACGTGGCGGGGGGGGGGGTCGCGCTTGTCACGAGTAAATGTTTATGGGTTGGCTACTTTAGATGCAACTGCAATTATGGCGAGACTTGTTCGCACCTCCATTCACCTGCCTGTGGGGACGCCTCGCTTAATTGCGGTCTGTTGACTGCTGACCTCCCTTGTCAGACTCATCCTGGGCTAGTGGAGATTGTGTAAATCATAAAGTTTAACATTAACCCATATAAAAGATAATCCACATTGAGCTAATCCGCGGAAGTACAGTACTCGCCGTTTGAAATCGAAAATTCACGCGAATAACGCGAATCCTCGTTAATTTCGTGAATTCGTTATAACTCGGTTCAGAGTGAAGTATTCCAGAAACGGAAAACACCGTTGAACTCAGCTCTTCAAGCGCTACAAGATTGCATCTGTGGAAATAGGAACAATTTAGAAATTGGGATCTGTCATCGGCAATAAGCGAACCGGCCAACCAAAAAATTCCTTGTCAGCAAGTTGTAGACAGGGATAGTGCTTTTGAGCATACATTTGAGCTAAGATTCACTGAAGAAACTATCTTAAGGGTGCCCTCTCTGGCGGTTGGTTCGGCGCTAGGGTGAATTTTGAAAAACTCATGAAAACACGATTCAGTAGAAAACCCTCCACATTCACATCTAAATATCGCTTCATCAGATTGTTGCAGCACTACCTAGTGCCAGACATTCTCGGAAAGTTTGAGAGGTGCAAAAATGAGTCAGTAACTGATCATGGAGCTAAAATCATGTTCTTACTTCACTCTTCACTTGGGATCACTGATTCAAAGTTGAGAAAATGGAGAATATGATAGAGAACAGGTTTGTTGAAAACTTGTACCAGTTGTACTCAATCAAAGTTTCGTTGAGAGTGGAAAATGACCAAAATTAAGAGGAGCACGTAATAACTTTCTCGAACTGCGATTTTTTCTTTCAAATTCTACAGTGCTGGTTCAGTACGCTGTAAGCTGTGATTTCTTGAAAGTTTCGCTGAATAAATTCATTCCTAAAGTTTGCTAAGTCTCTATAATTATTCATTCTTTACTTATGTAGTGTGATTTGGATTTTGTTAGGTTACCGCTTATTTCGGCTATATCTGAAACTTCTACGCTTCTATAGCAGTGATGTGAAAATTAGCTCGAGGTCAGCAGTCAACGCAGACAACTTAAACAGAGTCGTTCCTTAGGCGATTGACAGGGCACGTTAATTGGCAGGTGTAACATGGGGGGTGTGAGGTCATCTGCATCTAAAGTTCCTCTCCCAATGTTTATGCACATGTGTCATATTCAAGGAGTCCCTAGAAAACGCGTATGAACTTATGGCAGTTGACTTGGACGTAGCATATTCTAGGATCAGGATTGTTTTAGCCTATAGGGCCCCATCATGTTCTGCGCCTATGTTTGAACAGTTAATTAAAGCAATTGGCGATCTGGCATGTAGCGATACTCATTTCCTTTTACTCGGAGACCTGAATCTTCCTGATGTTTTATGGCGTCGGGGAGAAAGTCCCAAAGCCAGTAGGCTTCGCGCTTTGCGCTTTATTGAATTGTGTCGCAGTCTGAACCTTCATCAATTGGTTTTATGTAAATGTAATTTAATTGTATGTAATTCATTTACAAATAAGCAACAACAGCAAATGTAGTAAAATATAGGTACAATCATTGAAAAAAAGTAGTATAAAAAACTCACAACACCGTAGGATCAGTTTCAGTTTCCTTTCTTTCGTTTCGTTTCGCACGTTACATTTCGTTTCAAACTTGTCGTCGTTTGCACCTAACATTTTGCACGGTGTTACGGGTTTCCACTCGGGACCCACCAACACCTATCCCCCTCACGTCCCACGGTTCTCACGTCGGATTCTGCCACGGACAAGAAGGAAAGAAGGACCAAACTCGAAATGGAATTTCAGGTTAACAGCCCAAATTTGGGAAATTTCGTGGCTTACCTGTCACAACAGCGATTACGATGTCGGCGTCAGCGTACATCAAGGGACAGATGACGAAGGCAGCCAATGCCTTGAAGGAGAAGGTGAAAGCGGCTGAGAAGATTCTAGTCGAGGTCAGAGAGATGGAAATGGAACCCAAGGAAGACAAGAGTGTTATGGCGAAAAAGCAACACCTGATCGTGGATACAGTGGTAAGTTTGAATCATCTGGCGAACATCCTCAAGAGTACTTGGCAACGCGGAGAAAATCATGTCGACGAAATGGAGGATGAGAAGAAGCACTACGATGTACTACAGGACTTCCTGAACCACTGGGAAGCGAACCAAGCGGAGCAACTTCTCATGGAAGCTCAGGTGTTAGTTTCAAAATTAGAAGCTTTTCGTCAACAAGATAAAGACAAACAAAATAATACACAAATTTTACAATTAGATAATAGCATTCAATTACCTAGGTTAGAAATTCCATTTTTTGACGGGGATATGGTTGAGTTCCCAGAGTTCTGGGAGTTGTTCTCTATAGCCGTTCATAATAATCCAGCCTTAGTTCCTTCCTCAAAGTTCGTCCATCTTAAGAGCAAGCTTCGTGGTAAGGCAAAGGACCTGATTGCATCAGTACAGTTATCCGCCGAGAATTATCCGAGAGCAGAGACCGAGGTTTTGGCAGCGGCTTCGGCGCCAGGCGTGGAGAAGAAGTCTAAGGGCGCAGGAATGAAAGAAGAGATGGATACATCGGAGGTCAGCAAGGAAAATCCATCTTTAGTTCACAACGTTGACCCATGGGAATGGCAACCAACTTCACGATGCGCCCACATCACGCCGCCTCAAGCCGGCTAGAGATAACTGGACGACCAGCAACACGGCAGGCAAAACATTAAAGAAGGATCGAAAAAAGGAAGAATCCATTAAAAGACCCGAAAGAAAAGATGGACAACTCATCCACTTCTCACCTGCTAAAATCGCCGTCGTTCACGTTCTTGGATGAGTATTGGACAGGAGAGACAGGCAGAGAGAACTGGAAGGAAGAGCGGAACGGCCACTAAGAGTTGATCCTGCTCCTACTTTCATTGCTCCGTAGACCCGTTGCTCGTCAGTTCAGAACGGTCTTCGATCATATTAGTACAAATAATGTCCTCAGGGACAGAATCAGAAGTATTACAATACCAGAGAGAGAGACTACTCCAGCTCGTCCATCGGACTTTGAATTAGTCGCTAGAATATCCACCTCTTCCAGCCACTTACCTACTCGAGTTAGTTCAGCATACAACACAGTCATTCCATAATTTGGCTGTTCTTTTAGTTCGTAGGCAACCACTCGAGATTAGGTATACTCACCTCATGGGTTGGATCCATGAACTGACTCATAGCACCACAGCTATGACAGTGAATAGAGACCAACTCCAGGAGTTGATTCTACCTAGACTACTCCAGTGGTCGCATGACCAAGAACTACTTCATAGCAACCTTACACCGCCAGCAGCTACTATGCTTCGGTGTTACAGAGGATCACAACCTTGTCAGAGAGAACTGACTTCCACAACATACGTTCAAGCGCCTTGTTCATGCGCAATAGCCTACGCGTAACTGCTCAAGCGGTCGCTCAAAACCCATGCAAATCGATGCACTTCTTCAACCAACGTACGAAACGACCCTTCTGAAAGAGTTACTTCAGAAATAAAGAATCCAGGCTTAATTCAGCTGTTAGCATGCCTCCTCCTTGGCCGGAAGAACCCGAATCCTATATTCAATCTCTCAGTTGGTGGTTGGTGGCGCGACAATTACCCCCATGCCCTCATGATTAGAACCACACGGAAGAATATCTCCAGATATCGAGGTTTGATAGAATATTCCAGGAACAGGCTCAAGGACATCAACAACGTCCCACTCCACAGGTCCCACAGCGCCCCCTAACCCAAATAACGGTTCCCAAGTTGCCCCCTTACACCACGTGGCCAACTCCGGACCCCCTCGTGCCCCCGGAGGCTGGACATCCGTCCACTTCAGCTGCTGGTCGCCGCGAGGAAACTCAAGCTTTGGGTAAAAGGAAGCACGGAGACGATAGTTTAGTTCAAGAATCGAGGCCACACGCCGGTTAAAACCCCGTCTACTCCACCACCCACGTCAGGTCTCCGAAGTTCAATCCGCAGACCAGTGAGCCGGGCCCCTCCGGCCCCTAGTCGTTCCCGTTCCAGGTTCCCCACTCGTGCGGCCCCATCAGAAAGCCAAAGGGAAGCGTCCGACGTGCCCTTCTGTCCTGCACAGGTCACCTCGCAGACTGCGACAAGTATCCTTACGTCAGCTCCAGAGCGCACTTGGCCGAGAGCTTCGGACTCTGCTGCAAACTGTCTTAAGCCTCACTTTGGGATTTGTATTCCGCAAAGACCCGTGCAGTGTGTGTTAACAGGAAGGTCACCATCGAGCGTTCTGCAATCGGAACCACTTCTCTGTGTTCGACATCGATGTCCCGCCGGAGCAGTTCTTCGATAATCTCAGATTCAGGACTTACAGAGAGCCTCCACCTGGTGCAGCTACGCGTCGGCCCCTACCAGTGTTCCTATCGAGAGCGTAGTCGGACAGAAGAGCAGGAGCGTTCAGGACAGTCGGATCGTCAGCCAGCCACCACCTCCGGAGCGAGAGCGTTCCCCGGAACCCTCGACCTCGGGAGCTTATAGAGACATGGGGTTCTCGCCGGCCAATAGTGATGAGTCATGGTAGAAGGATAATACAATAGTTCAGTTTGTCGATTCTTTCAGTCTATTGATAGTTCACCTACAATCTTACGACGCTACGATAGTTCATCACTTATGCAATGCTCTAATAGTTCAGAATTCTCAGATGCAACCTAGTTCACGTATATCAACACGCGGTAGTTCAGTAGTTCACTTCCTATTATGCACTCGCCGTCGTCATAAGTCGAGAGATTTACGACCGAAGATTACGACAACTATTAGCTGGTAAGCGGTAAGTGATTAGAGGGAAACTAATATTAATTGTTCAGGTACGCTGGTTGACGGAATAGCTGTCGGTGTCCTATGACTGATCATGTCGATATTTTGCGGCGAAGACTTGTCTCAGGATCTTTCCTGAGTTTATTTCTTATTTCTTGTCCTTTTCGAGATCTAATTCTTCGTCTCGTTTCAGGTCCGTTCGTATCCGCCGATTCGAGTCTACGACGTTTCCTCTACGACGATGTTTTACGGCGTCAATATACTTCAGGATCACAATCCTGAGTTTATTCTCCTTTTTTGTAAATATTTCAGCCCTAACTCCTTTTCGTTCAGGTTCGTCGTATCGACCAGCCCACATGCCTACATCGTGACCTCTACGACAGTGCTTTACGACTATAAGTCCGGATTCCATTCCTGAGTTTCTTTTATTTTGTCGTTATTTTTTTGGCGCTTATCTTCGTTCCGTTCAGATGTGTCGTGCCTTTTCCGGACGGTGTATTTGGTCGGTTCGTTACGTCGGCTTCTTTACGGCAGTGATCTCTTTAGTTCATTATTTCTTTGTTGTCACTAACCCATTTAATTTCGTGTTTTATTTGTAAAAATTCCTTCTGTATCACTAAACCTGCGTTTTATTCAAAGAAGTTTATGTAATGTTTAGTACATTTATTTCTTTTATGCGTAGTATCGTTTTATTGAGTACTAACCCCCTTTTAAGTCGCAGTAGGTTACGGCGCCTCTTCTACCAAACTTGTCAGGGGACCAACTTAAAATTATATGCCTTTTCATTTCTTTTGCGGCCATCGGCCAATGGTTCTTAGCAGTCACCGGACGCTACGCCCTCAGACGGGGGTCTGGGGCTGAATGCCCACAACGGATTCTTTTGGAAGGCCGGGAGTGTCGCGAACGCGATGATCGCTCCGAGGGAATCCGGGGTGCGCCGGTGCCCGCGGGTAGTCGCCGTCATGACCCCTATATATCTACTTCGTGATCGTGCGGCAACGCACGGTGCTGTTATCGACAGCAACATCACGAACCTGCCTGGGTTCCTCTTACGTCATGGGTCTCTACGTCATCGAAATTATGTACGGCGATCTCGCGAGGCTTTGAGCCCTTAGAACTATCATGGAAATTATATTGTTGTGGATTTCTATATGGATATCTAAATTCTATTGGAAGTTGATCGTCTGGCGGGTCTGTGGCAGAGACCCGACGTGAGATCCCTTTTTCTCTAGTTCACTTACTAACATAACTTGTAAGGATTATCAGTAAAACATAAATAATTATTAGTTAATGTGTTATTGTGTTGTGAGGTGTTAACCTAGGATATTGTGCACTAATATATCTGTCAACGTAT